TAATAACTCCATTTTACTTTTATTACAAAACGTAATTGTTTAAAAATTTTAAAATATCTACAAAAAGAAAAGTGATATAAGAAAGTGATTACAATATAAATTATAGGAGGGGTAGATACGAAAGATCAGTACTTGCGAACATACCTAATTGAAAGGAAAAAAGGAAGAAATGGAATATGAATTTTTGGATTTCACCTTCTTTATAAACAATTACCTACAGTTATTAATTTTGGAGCCATTTATTCAATAACTATGATAGAGAAGCAACAAAATAATTGTTGCAATTCTGTGGGTGGCCGGTAAAATGTAATTTTACGATTTTTTTAAATTTTTTTAGTTAAATGCAATGTTGATGCAAACGTTGGCTGCTTTTAAAAACAACTGGCCGGCGTAATTAGTTTAAACAACCTGTTATTAAATCAATGAGTGTCTTGTGCAAGTACTTGTAAAGTATTTCTTGATTTCGCCGGTTAGTTTTTTTAGTGACAGTATTGTAGTTTTTATTGATGGTACTTCATTTAGCCTGTGTAAAGTTTTGAGCTTCTTTTTAAACAATTACCTACCGTTATTAATTCTGGAGCTAATTAATCAATAAATGTAAAGAGATAGTAACAATATGGCGGTAGAAATTTTGGGGTTGCCGGTAAAATGTAATTTTAAGAATTTTTCCATCACTTTCTTACATAAATTTCCTTTTCGTAGATATTTTAAAATTTTTTAAACAATTACTTTTGTAATAACGGCAAAATGTAGTAATTAAATAGTAGTTAATTTATTTATTGTTGTTACATTTTCTGATATTTTCTGTGTAATTTGATTTTGTGGCTAGCTAGCTTCAGGTTGAAGCTAGCTGTTCCTTGGTTTTTTAAAAAATGGCTGACGTAATTAATTTAAAATTATGATAATTAATGAGTAATTAATTAGCATTAAACGATGGCATGTAGTTTTTTGTGGTCCGCTATAGGTGGCTAGCCAGCTTCAGAGAGTTTGGTTTAGGCGCTAGTAGTGTTCACAGACTCCATACGAACTGACGGACGGACGGAAAGGAAAAAAATTGAGCCTTTTCGAGAAAATTTGGTTTTTTTAGTTTTTTATAACTGCACTATTGCAAGAAAACTACTGAAACTTTCAAAAAATGTACCTGACATCATTGAAAGAATTAAATATGGAGAACAAATTTGAATTGAAGGGAAAATATCTGTCTTCAGTTTTGTAGTAGTAGGAAGACGCCGGAAAAATCAAACTTTTGCAATTTTTGAAAATTTTGAGTTAATAGTAAAAATCGGCTCTATGCTACCTTTATAAGTGTACTTTATTCTTACAAGAAATTTAATGACTTACAATGAAATTTTTCGAAAACTTAAAAATATGCTGTGCAAAAGTACGTCAAATCTTGCATTTTCAGTGACGCTTAAACATTTCTTTAAAACAGATCCAAACTTTTCAACGAAACTTCTCAAAGAAAAGTCTCATTTACGAAGTATATTAAGTATCCAGATATCGTTAGGTATCGTAAGGTTTTCAATCTTCTTTAATATTTTTAAAGGAATATTTCGGTTTTACTGTTAGGAAACAGAAAAATTGAGAAAATATAAAAAAGGATTAACTTTACGCAGTGATAGATGACAGTGGGCAAGAGGCATGGCGCAACACCAAAAAGCTAGTGTAGAACCAAAAACTAGAAAATAATCCGAGAAAGTATGTCCCAATCTGTAGCATCTCTAGTTACTTTAATTGAACAAAATTGTGAAAAACTACTTTATTTCATAGCAATTAGACTTGATACACGCTCCCCATAACCTCATTATTTATTATTATTATTATTATTATTATTATTATTATTATTATTATTATTATTATTATTATAGCCTGCAGTAAGTTGTTCACTTACATTCATTTTTGGGTAGATATGATTTATCAATATAATTTTTGTCTTATACCATTCTTATGGTTTCTAAGCAGGTAACTTTGAAGTACCAGCGCATCAAATATTCATTTTTAGTACTTGACCATTGTAAGCTCTTCTTTGATTGTTATTTAGCAATGGTTGCCTGCTGGGGTACCGACAAAACATGAACTTCAGGGGCAGCTGAGAGGTGTTGGAGGCTACTCTCACTTCTACAAGTAGCAATAGCAAGTAGTACATCAGCAATAGCTTCTAGAGAGACCGGCGCTTGCTGATCTATTTACCGGCGATTGGCAGTCTGCTCATTGTCATACCCAGGCATTCCCCAGGCAGCGACCCTTTTTCCTTACGCTAAATGTACCGCCTCGAGTTCAATTTGTCGCCACCACGAGGCAACACCAAAATAAGCAAAATATACATTACCAATAACGTCTGAGCCATTGGTCTGTTTAGCCATTTTCGATCTGTAAATGGAATTTGACTTCTTTTTAAAGTAGAATTTTACGCTATGAAGCCCTTTTCAAAAGATTTAAAAAAGAAAAGTTTTCACGTTGCTCTTATATTTATAGCATTAAATTATAAAATGTGCCTGTATAGCGCAATGACGACGTCTTAATGAATCCAACGCCATGTTAATCATGCATATCGGATGAATAGGAGCGTCGTAAAGTGAAATTTGGAAAAACGCCTCTCTCCATATACTCTTGCCAAATGCCATCCATCGCCGCCAAAAGTGCATTTTTTGAATAGGAAATTTTTCGGTTTCCTAATAGTAGAATCGAAATATCATTTTAAGAATATTTATAAACCCTCATTAGAAGGCATTAACTGACACATTTTAACTCACAAATGCAATAATGATTACAAATCGCTGGAAATGTGCATATTAACGGCGTGAGAGATCTTTCAAAACAATTACACTTGTGTAACTAGAAAAAACAAAAATACTCCAAAATGAACTTTCTGTCATATATAGAATGCAATTAGTACTATCCATTCGAAATGTTTTAGGAAAAATATTGGAGTTTTTTGAAAAAATGACTTTTGAACGTTTCTGAATACGCAGAAATTTGAGTTAGTTTTCACAGCTAACAGTTGAATTTTCGAGGAACTTTATACGACATTATTTAAAGCACATGCACTCATGAATATATTGTGAACATGAACATGTGAACAAATCGCCGCTAACGACGAGGTAGGCAACTCAAAAAAATTACGATTTTGTAACTTTTGAGAAGAAAAAAGAATAGAGCAATTTGGTATTTAAGCCATCTCTTAGAGTACATTTTGCATTATCCCTATCAAGAGTTTAAAGGGAAAAAGTGGATCTATTTTAGACAAAATCTTCTTTTTGTAATTTTTGAAAATTGCACATGTTGCACGCAATATTGCGGGAAAACAACTGAAATTTTCGCAAAAATGGATATGACCTAAAAGAAAGAACTCAATATGGAGAATAAATTTCATTTGAAGGAAAAATCTTTATCTTCAATATGGTAGTTGTAGAAAAACGGCGGAAAAAACTTCAAAATTTGAAAATTTTCGAATATTCAGAGTGAATCGTGAAAATCGGACTTATGGCACAGTTTTAAGTATATTTTACCTTATTTTTACAAGAAATTTAAAGAAAAATTTGCAAGCCATTTTTGAGAAAATTTTGAAAATATCCGGGCGGTGAGTTTTTCAAAACTGCGGCTTTAAATAAAGTACCACCAAAAACTAATGAATGCTTTTCGAAATTGCAGAGCTTTGACTTAGACAAGATAGACAGGGTTTTTTACTATTTGGAAAAAAATCCAACGCATGGTACGTACTAGTTTTCTTCACATACTCTAAACAGACGGACAGACGGACGTTTTGAAAAAAGAACAACCCTTTTTCGATAACAGGGGACCCCAAAACGATTTCCGTTGAAAACTGGAAATAAGTTTTGCGCACTTTACGTAATTTTCTCTATACAGCTATATCACCCCGTATACTTGGTCCGTAAATTCCCCGGCTTACTTGGTAAGTTACAATGATATAAAATAAATATGTTATATTTGTATAAACTTGAAGACGAGATCCCACGTAACATTTACAAACTACATAAATGGTAATGTACAATGAGGTAATTGAATTGCTCCTAGATTTTTTAAAATATTTGGATCGTGTTTGCTTTCGATTTTGTTTGTTTAAAATAAAGTGGATTTTTAATTTACGCAAAATCAGTTGGAAGTGATTCTTTATGTATCGGTCACAATGATATAATATGTAAAAATGTCAAATGAGTTTCAAAACCAAGGAAATCTTCGCAGTCATTGTAGCGGACATACCCTTGGGAAGGCTTTCCCACCCTGCGGCAGCTGAAATTTCCCCTCTCGGCGATAAGGAGAGGCGACTGCGATAATCACCGATCGCACAGACCGTCACTTGTCATCTCTGAAGAGGAACTCGCACTTCCAGGTGTGTCGAAAGAAATGAATTCATCACTATCCATTATATTAATATTGAAACCGTTCTTCAACACACGGCTGTTGATCGTCTGGACAACCCTTAGTGCAGAAACACGTAAGCTGCCTTTTGTCTGTGTCGTCCACGAGAGAAAAACAGAGACGGAGAGGGAGAGTGAAATAGAGTGAGAGTGAGATAGAGAAAGATAGGGAGAGCGAGGGACAGACGGAGAGAGAGAGAGAGAGAGAGAGAGAGAGAGAGAGATTGTTATCTAGTCGAATAAAATTGGTATTATTGATGAATGTTATATGGAATAGTGATTTAGGCGAAAGTAAAATAGTAGTTACTATATTTACAAAGAGAACATTGGTTAGCCATATTGGACGCCGACAAATGAAATGCAAATATTGGGATGTAAGTAGTAGGACGTAGAAATGTTCCAGGACAAAATAAACAATACATTTGGGACATTGGAGATTCCTAGGACAATATAAATATAGCTAGGACAATATAAACATTTTTATTTTGAAACCATCATAAAACGAAGTATATGGAATATATACAGCCAATGGTGTAGTAAAAACATTAGGGTCGTATTAAGATAATTGATCATTGTGAAACGAGTTGCAGCGAATAAAAAAAATCACAAAAAGAAACAAACTGAAGATGACATGCACTAAGGTCCACCAAGATCCAAGTTGCACCAAGGTCATGATTTTGGGAGTAGACATTTGATTGTCGATGTGAGCACACGCAAAGCTAGCTAGAACATTTAGTTGTTGTGAATGAAAATAGTCTAGACTGGGAATGTCCTCCTGAAGCATTTACAAATAATTAATTATGTGAACATTGTAAGATATTTAACATCAGATTTAAGATATTAAAGTGAACGGAGCTTCAACATCAAGACAGAAGGTTACTGGTGGAAACCGAAATCTTCGTCGAAGATCCTTAACTTCGACAACGCTGGCTACGAGGAGGACATCATTTTTACGAACTGGAAACGCCACGGAAAAAATCTTACAAGATATTCAAATACGATTCTTTGCAAAGAAAGAAGTAAGAATGGCTAGCTCAGACCAACAGAATAGAGCCGTAATACGGGAAAGTCTGCGTCATTCTGTAGAACCACTAGTTAAAATTAGCTTCGGATATTTTACTTGCGGAATAAATTCACCATGTGAATTCCACCAAGGAGACAAATACCGTTTTGAGATCAAAAAATGGAGTCGTATGATAAATGCTCTTACGTAATATCTGCTCATTCTTTCCGGTTGAGCAATAATAACGGAAGATCTTAGACGTAAAATTAGTCTATATCTCAAATAAGATGTGAGGAAATGGAATATTGTTGCAATTTACACAATTAGTTCAATTTAATTTTTGGAATCAGTTTCCAAAATGGACACTATATTTTGAGTACCGTCTAACCAATTTATGTATGTGTAACGAAGAAGAACGAAATATGTCGAACAAGATAGTCATATACTTTACTACTTAGCCGGACACCGACAGATTCGTACTGTCCCAGACAGATTTGTTAATGTGACAGTTTTGTGTTCCTGTACATATTTTATAGTCTGGCAAGAACATCTCCTGAACGAGAACCGGCACCTGGTGGATAGGCGTTGTGAATAAGGAAATATATTAATAAAGCATATATAGAGTCATTTAAAAGTAAGTATTCGCTTTATTGTTAATTCATGTGATCAAACTTATTAACAAAAATCTTAGTTTAATTTCATTTGTAGTGACTTCTGGATAATAAATTCTTTTTTGTTTGATTACTTGGCGCTATTAGACAGTCAAATCTGATGGGTTTCACCACGTGGAACAGGCAAAAACATACATTGAACCATGTGAGAAACATGGGTTTTCCAGATTAATACCACGAACACTTAAGATTGCCCCTGGAACTTGTTTTGGTCATCAGCAGAAGCAAGCGAACTGGAAACGGTAGTCGTTTGTAAGAGTTAACGGGCACATCAGTCGAATCATGTGGGATTGCGCGGTATGACGAACGTACTTCTCTTTATACTTTCCTTCAGTACAGTTGCTTCTATCAGTTGTTAGTTATCTAATTTTAAAGCGCTAACGCGTGTGCCGTTGCAAAGAAGTGGTTGGTGTGATATTCGCACATTTAACTACCGATCTCAACTTTAATTGAAAGATTGGGAGGTGGCAATCTGTAAATCCAGCGAGTTTAAAAATTCTGGTGGATAGTTCACTACACTATTTTTGGTAGTAGCCAATCAACTGATTAATAGTATCCTAGATTCGCCTGTAATTTGTTCTTGAATTTTTGAAATTTAATTGCATTTCATCAATGTTTTTTTGGCATCACAATATTAGCTCGTTCGCTCAACCAATCAAGGTTTCTGTAATTTGAGAACATCTGGAAACACTTTCTGAATAAGTTCATCTTTTGAACTCGAGTTAACATGACAAAAAATTTGAGGAAGTTAATGCAGCCCAGTCAACATGTCGTAGGAATTTGTCATTACAATTATCAATAAGGTTGTTTAGAGAATTTGTTTCCAGATTTGATCATTTTGCAACTCGACATGCATTACTTCTTGGCTTAAATGAAGTGCTTTGACATGTTTCACAATTGGGAGGACTTTAGAACATACATTGAGTTCACAGCTGGTGGTGATCGTGGAATCACTGGCAATGTTTGACGGAAAATCTCCTGAATAAAATCATTTGCACACAAAATGTTATCGATTGCTCCGTAAGATCTTTAAAGTTCTGTCTAAAGCTTCATAGATTTTTTATTGCATCGTTGCATTCATGCCCAAACAATTAATTACATTCTGCAAGACCTTTGGCCATTGCAGAGTTTTCGAAATGTTGCAGGTCGTGTTTCATTGCTTGCATATTAATGGCAATTTTAAAAATCGCTGAATTGCTGTTTCGAGACCACGTTCAAGCAAAGTTGCCGCGATTCCCGACGAAGGACGGAGTGCAAGTGCAATTTATTCTTGTAAGCGAATCGTTGCTAATATTAATGAAAGTCAAAACGTTTTTTCTGTACCACAGGTGCATCTAAGAAGTAAAGTGCCTCCCGTTTTATTCATTGTGTTTCATCATAAGAGTATCAATACATATCGTTTTGGTTGTTTCATCGTCAACAGTGTAAGGATTTGTTTTGAGATTAATTCTTTCAAAGTGTTGAGATCATATCAGTTTTCCATCGATTCAACTCTTGTTAAAAGCATCATGCATTGGAACGATTGGTCGCGGCCAGGCTAGATTGAATTATAGTTGGGTTTTGACATCCAATCAAGGCACATGTTCCTCAATAAATCAATGCTCATTGGTAATTTCTTCAACGATTTGTATGAGTTGGATTTCTCTATTTCGTATTTGATACAAAATATCATCACCACATATAAGTCTTTGTACTTGATCACAAAATCAATTTGGGTTTGATGGGAAGCATGTAGGATATGATTTATATTGAAAACAATTTCGTATTTTGATGAGCGTTTGATGATAATCAGCAATCATATGAGAGTTTGATCCAATGAGCGTCATTTTCTCTAAGGCAATTGAAACGTTGCAAGGCCTTCTCTGAAGATCCATCCATTCACCATCAACAGTTCGTAAATGTTGGAATGATGTGGGAGTGCACGTACATTGACTAATAGGCATCGTAAAAAAAACATTCACATGGGTTGGATTACTGAATAAATTTCGAGCAATGGCTATCAAAGTGGAATAGCACATCTCTGGGTATCCTGGAACTTGTTTTCCGTCGTATAAATCTTCCTTGAGGATTGATTCCAAGATATACTTTTGCATTTCAGAATATAGCTTTTTGTGCAGAGTCATCATTTGGCATGTCTCAAAAAACTGGTTAATGAGTAGATGGTGTTGAGCAGGATCTTTGGTACTGCGTTCGGCTGGTAAAATAACTCTTTGTCCATTTTCTAAATGCATAACAGCTAAGTAAACAACAGAAGGGTGTCTTCTCATGAATAGGAAAAGAAAATATGCGCCTTACTGCTTCATTACTGACTACCATAGCGGCCCCATTTGGGTATTAAGTACTTATCATTGGAATCATCTGCACCAATTCCATATACAGCCATATCACTCCTTGGTCAATATTTGCAAATCTATTTAAAATAGATTTCACTGTGATGGCACAAACACTAATTTTTTTCGATGAAATCCATTAAAGATTTACCATTTTTGGTCTAAAGACTCTGTACCTGTAATATCATGAACGAATCAATGGGTGATTGCCAGAGAATAACTCCTGCTTGATTTCTATGCCAGTGCGGCATTGCATGTAATCGTGATGAACAAACTTCTGTACCATGAATGACGAACATACGACATGGCATCTTGAGCAATCATTCGTTGGCAATATGTTCGAAGGGCTTTTCCGATGTATGTTGCTCGGAAGAATAGTCATTCAACCAACATTCTGTGCATTTCCATCAGTATTAATCGCATCTCGAAGGTGAATATTACTCTTCAGATCGGGAGTTTGGTCTGATTCAACTGATGAAATGTTAATCTCTCCGTTTCAATTTTAACATACATCTCAACAAATATTATTTGTGATATAATCGCCGACATTTCAATTTGATTGTCTTAATTTCGCCCTGAATCATTAGGCGGTATGAATAAGAGTTCAATTGAACCTGACTTTTTTGTTAGTGTTCAGAACTGTAAATAGATTTCTGTTTTAATAAACATTGAACATATAAAATTAAAAATACATAATATATACGGTGACCTGAGATATTAACTAATTTTAATTATTTGTAATGGGAATTTAACATTTTTATTGAGAAATCAAATAGCCCAGCTTCACCTTGCGAAAATAAATGGGATTATGCATGTGCCATCATATGAGCGTGGTGTGTTCCTTTATGACGTTTAATTGATCATTCCGCGACGGATGTAAAAACAATTATCACGGATTCCAAGTTTTCTCCGAAGCTAGCAACGATAGCATACTTCATCAATAGTTGTGATGCATGTAAAACGTCTTGCATGTTGACCGCAGCGTGTTTTATCAGCTCTGATTTACACATTTGTGATTATCGATGGCATAGATCCAGGGCAGTTTTAAACAAATATAACAATTGATTGTGTTTATGAAATAAAGTTTTGATTGTTCTACCAATAGACCCTTTACTAATTGTTATCTGACACCAGATTAGTTTCTGTGATGAACATGCCCATAAAATAAATTTGTAGTTGCTATCTGACACGTGGTTCAACAGTGAACCTGCTCTGTGATATAATTTGCCCTTGTATCTGTAATGTAAAAATATTATGTTTGTAGCAAACACTATAAAAATAAAATTAATATAAATAAAATAAATAAGCAATGTGGGTATAAATTTATGGAATTGTCAGTGATCAACAGTTAAATAATATTGTTCTTTAAAATTATATCTCTCATAATTAGTTTATACAACTTAATATATCACTCAAATATATTGGGTTTCAAAATTAATAAAAGTTCGGTAAAACTGAAACACCAAATGATTATGGGGACAAGTGATGATATGAATGCTAAGAAATTGAAGATTAGTTAAACACATCTTAACTTTAGTGAAGAACATCAAAATAATTTCATGGTTTAAAACACTGATAATAGCATATCCTTGAAAGTTGACATATAATTTTTTCCGAAACTCACATTTGTTGACCAAGATGAGTCATTTGAAAGCAAATTGTATATTGTGTTGGATATTGTCAAAAAGAGTTGGAATCTGTTCCTATTCCTGAAACCAATGAAGTACAATGGCTTGGTCGGTCGATTCAATGGTAACAAATTTCACTTTAC